TGGTTTGGAGAATTTCAGGTATATTTTTTTTTTGTATGATTTCAAATATATGATTTAATTTGTACTAATCTTTTTGATATTGCCTAAATTTGTACAGAAAGAATTTAGGTGGTTGCCTGAGTACAGCACGAGGATCAGATCTAATTTTGAGAGGAGAGGAGCGACCCGTCTCAGAGACATGTTCACGGACATTAGAAAGTCCGGGCAGAGGCCTAATTGGATTGGAGAGGGCGTTTGGGCAGATTTGAGTAGTGCTTGGGCTACCCCGGAGTTTATAAAAATGAGAGAGCAGAATAAACAGAACAGAGCCTCTGACTGCGGCGGTTTAGGAAGCTCTCTTCATACTGGTGGATCTGTACCTCATACAGAACATAGGCGGCGACTGGTAAGTGTTTTGAATTGGTTTATTACATATATTTATGTTAGTATAACTAAGCATCAAATTTTCAGAAAGCGCACCTGGGTCGGGAGCCAACACCATTGGAGCTGCATACAAGAACTCATCAACATCAAGCTGACCAGAATTGGGTTGATGAGAAATCTAAGAAGGCTCATGTGAGTAAAATTTTTTGGATTTTTAGAATAAATATTTATTTTAATAAAACTATTTGTAACTTGCAGGATGATTTCTTACGAGTTAGAGAAAGTAGGCAGTCCACTGGCGAGGGATCATCTTCTGGATCGGCCCATACTTCTGAGTATCAGACATGGTCAGAAGTTGTTGGTGGAAGACAGAGGGGGAGGGTATATGGCATGGGTTCACAAGCTTTTGCTATTGAGTCCAGTTCATACACCTCTGCATTCCATGATCCAAGTGGAGCTGAAGAATCTGTAAGTGAGAGGGTTGCAGCACTTACTAGAGAGATTGAAGAGATGAAAAGGGTTCAGAATGAAATGCAAGCAGAGTTGCAATCCTACAGAGCTGGAAAACAAAGGAAGAAGGACCAACAGGAGCAGCCATCTGCAGACAGTGAGGATACCGATGATGATTAGATGTTTATTATGTTTGATGAATGTATTAATTAGAACTTGTAAACTTCTGAACTGGTGATTGTAGCATTATTAAGAACCATTCTTGTATGAACTTGTGATTGTAATGTTGTGATGAATTTTGTATTTTCTGGTTGTGATGAATATAGCGGCGTGTTGCCCAACATATATATGCTTTTTCTGCAGGTTTAGACTTTAGGGTGAACCTCCCTCAAATAGAGGGGATGCTGTCAATTTTTTTTTTCAGGTGCTACAGGTTTCCGGCGGCTAACAGGCGGTTTAGCCGCCGGAAACTACGATACCAGACGGACAAGATAAAGCCGCCAGTTATATTATTAAACCGCCGGTACGTACCGGCGGCTTACCGACGGCCGCCGGCGGTTATACGATGTACGCACGACGGTTTAAACCGTCGGTAATACCGACGGCTATAACCGCCGTCCACCGCCGTCTAACGGTGCCGTCCGGCGGTCTAATGAACCAGACGGGTATTGGCCGCCGGCAAACCGCCGCAAAAATAAACCGCCGGTAACAAGCCGTCGGAATTGGTTTCCTACGCCGTTTTTACCGGCGGTTAACAAACCGCCGTTAGACCGCCGTTAACGTAAAAAACCGCCGGTAATTCTACACTAACTGCCGATTATCAGCGTTTTTCCTGTAGTGCTAGTGATGATCATCATAGTCGAATGCAAGTTGGATCTCTAAACTTCTTAAAATCTCTAATCTTTCTTCAATTTTAGCTACATATTATAGTTCTATGCCCCATTTCATGTGAAGAATTAGGGTGTATTTATAATTTTTTTATGACATTTTGTTAGTTTTGGCGAAAATTCCAAAACACAATCAGATAGTCCACATTAATTCTCTTGATCTTAGGAACATTCTTTTAATATATAAGTGACTTAATGATCTTAAAGAGTGATTGTGGCCCTCAATTGAATTTATCTTGTATAGACATGCCTTCTGACAATAGCATGCAAAACTTAAAAATTATTTGATCCATCAATTAATGTCATGAAATTTCTAAATATATTTTAAATGCTTAATTTGAATACATATGGAGTCTCATCAGAACTATTTTTTTTTCATTTGTTTGGTTACTCAAAATATTAAATTCAAATATAACTTTATAAAAATTAACATTCATATAATTTAAATTTAACTCTAAAAGTTTTCAGTTTAGGGTCTGTTTAGTTGCCTGAAAAAAAGGAATGCAGTATAAAAGTAATACTTTTGAATTGTTTGGATGACTTTAAATGGAATGCATGATATACTATTTTTGTTTGATTTGAACTAAAATGAATGCAATGTAAAGTACAAAAAGGTTGTGGCCAGGGTGGCTGATGGAGGTCGGCAACCGACAATGGAGGGCGATGGCATATAGCTAGTGGTGGTCCGTATTGGCTGGCAGTGGTGGGTGGTGGTTAGCCGACAGTGGTGGGAAGTTGTAGGTGGCCTATGCTGGCGGGAGGAGATCAGATGTGTATGTTGGCTAGAGGTGGGCGGTGGTGGACCACAGCTGGTAGTGGTGTCCACTAGACGGAGGTGGCCCATGAAAACTTACGGTAATGGCTTGCAATGGTCGGCAATGGTGGCCATTGCTAGCCAAAAGTGGTTGATCATCTCCCTATAAGATAAGCCCCTGTATTTAATTATATCGCCTAAGAGAATAGTCTTGATTAAATTTAAAATTAAAGATTTTTAAAATTTATATAGATTTAAAGAAATTATTGGGCTATTTGATTTCTATGCACATCTTGTAGATTATAAATTATATAGTAGAATTTTGGAATTTAGATTTAGAAATGATAAGAAAAGATGTACATAGAGAGAGGTATATACAATCTAGACTTGCATAGAGTGAGTTTCCAGCTAATAATCCTTAAACATAAGAATCCTTGTATGTTTGAAAAAATTGGTAAGCTTTATCCTAAAAATCAAGGAGTAATTATTCAGAAAATTTAAATTAAATTCTATATAGCATACTTACAAAAAATAGAAACTACTCATATGATGAAAATAATGCATGAGATAATAATATTTAAAAGAGAATATTTTACTAATTTATAAATTTGTAATGTATAACCCAGGGTCTGCAAGAAAGTAATGTTAATCAGGCCCCACCAACCACAAACCTAGATTCTAATCCAACCATATACATATAAAATCAAATATAACTACTTATGGTCTTCAAGTTCCAAGTCTTCTATGGAATTTCAAAAGAGAATATCCTCTCAAAGAGAGGACATTGCTTTTTGGAGTGTATATATATAAGCAGTTGCTTTTAACCCTTTTTCAACTCATGACAATGTACAACTCGATCTATATACAAAAATCTAAAACTTTTATATTTTACATCTCTTTATCATATACATCATCCTTAGATACATTCTGCTTTGCATAAATATAAAGAATTGAATATAAAATGTAGATATAATGGTGCAATGTAAGCAGTTATATATACATAAAAGTAAATGTAAATAAATTGCATGACCCTAAATTCATTCACTCCGCACCATGCTGCATAAACAAAAAATAAATTTGATATTCAAATTTGTAGCAAGCAAACACACATGGGTACCCTCTAAGCAACGGTACCCTCAATCAAACCAAATCAATAAACTTGCCTAGCCTAGGCTAAAGTTGATTGTCCTAGAAACCATATAAGTTTGTGGAAGATGTTGTATGGCTTTGATGTCCTATAGAACTTTAATGTTTAGATTGCATGTATTTTTAATGTTTATTCATTAAAGGTCAAAAGGAATTTTAATTAAAGTTTAATTGATATGTATTTGTATTTATTATTTTTATTTTTACTATTCGAGTTTTACATGTTGAGGTTGTTTATTTAATTTTAAAGAACTTATAGACTAATAACCCCCAAAGTACAAGGGTTATTAATTTATAAATAAGGCTTTAAATGAAACACCAATCATCTATGCATGAAAGATGCTCATATGGGAGCCTTTGAAGATTTACTAGAGATAGAGAAAAAACCTTATAAATTTAATACACATGCCCTCTAAATGGAAGCAAGCATAGTATATAGGTCGGTGTATTTATTATTATTTGAATATCCCCCAATCTAATGTATTAGTTCCCTCCTGAAAGGAGTCATGCACAACACATCATGAGGGTTCTTTTGGTTATTTAAAGTGTATTAAAGGCTTTGAAATTAAATGTTAAAATGCCCTCCAAAAGGAATAAAAAATTTGGCATAAAGGAAATTCATTTATCCCAATTTAATTATCAAAATTAATTAATTAAAAAAATTATAATCAATCATATCATCAAATTAATTTATTTTAAATTAACTAAATTTTAATTCAAGTTTTATAATTTTATTGAATTATTTTGAATTTTTAAGGTATTATTGAATTTTTAATAAATTTAATTTAATTTATAATTTATTATTAATGAATTCGCTATTAAATTTTATTCAAGTTTGAATTTTAATTTTTAATGATTGTATGATTGTTTCAAAGTTGATTGAAAGAGATTTGGTATTTTTATGTATTTTAGTTGATTTATTGAAATTTAGTACTTAATAAAGGGTTAATTGATATAATCATTATTATAAGATCAATTAATGGCAAATCAATGTGTAGTTAATCCTAGAGTGTAATATCATTAAGTTTTCTATGTTTAATATTCCATCTAAATAAGTTGTTTATGTGAATCCTAGATTGGCCTAAGTTAGCTAGACTTGATCCTTAAATATTGTCTTTAAGTAACACTATTATTGACATGGGATTGCAATCAATGTTTTAAACCCTTGAACATATGTAAACAAATCACAACAAATTTGTGTGCTAAATCTAAGAAAAATGAGAATGGATGAATTTCCAAATATTAAGGCTAAGAGTTAGCTTAGTTATTTGGAAATTCAATCAATGAATAATCACGATGCAATTAATTATTAAATATCAAGCATATGCCATTGAATTCATTTAATCATGATAAAGCTCTATTTATTGAATTCATTTAACCATGATACACTTGACAGCTTCTAAGTGGTAGTTTCAAAAATCATGGCGACGACCAATCATTGGAAGGATTGTGCAGTGGCACAAAATCAATGTGGTGGCAGTTCGCCACTCATCAACCAGTGGTTGCTTCATACAATTTCACTAAACCACAAAGGAATGATCAAGATCGTTGATTCCGCACCTTAGAATCAATGGTTCTAATCAAAGCTGGATAGGAAGCGGAATGACTAGCCAATTGATGCGGCTTTGATAGAAGATAAAATGACTGAATCTGAGCCGTTGATCATAAGATTAATGGTTCATATCACGTGTAGTTCATGCATAGCATAATTAAAGCCTTAAATGATGAAGAGTTCTTTCATATTTAGAAATACTAAACAATATTATGGGTCAGGTCAAGGACAATGAGGTGTCAAAGCTAAACTTGCCTTCATATGGGAGATGGGACCACTTGATCAGTTTAGGTTTAATCCAAGGCTTAGGGTTGGTTTAGGAATGGTTGAAGAACCTCCTAGAAGGTGTTTAGGCAGCTGGGGTAGAGGACCTTAGAGGGAAAGTCAAATTACTAGGTAGTTTGACCACGTTTGTAGCCATTTGGACTACTTGTTGATTGGTCAAACAGTCAACCATTACTTAGGTGGACATGGGAGAGTGTGAAGGTGCTGGTTGAGTGAACTCCAAGGGGCTTGAAGGGATGGCTTAAGTGTATAAGCGAGGGAGTCTGTGTAGTGAGTTTTAACCAAGTTTTAATGAGTTGACTTGATCAAATCCTATGGATTTGACTCACCCATGGCTTAGATATGTTCAAGCCATGGAATGGAGTGATTGTGAAGGCTTGATGAAGTTTGGAGAGTTTAATTTGTTTGAATGAATTGATTTGACCCAAGCATATGTCTAGTTGACCAAGTCAATTATTGACTAGGTCAAGGTGAGCAGTAAAGTCCAAATCCCTAAGAGTAAGGCTCAGTGAGATTTGATGGAGATTAGAGCTGATTTGAGGTTTAATTAGACAAAGATAATGTGTATGATCAATTGAGCTAGCTTGGGCCATATTAGGTCAATCACTAGCTTAGGAGCTATTGATGATTGATTTGAGGTCAAGAAGTCAGTACGTTGAGCTACATAGCTACATGGAAAGACTGCAGGTGCATGTGATTGAGTGTTGATTGAATGTTGTAATTTCATCCTGATTGCATACAAGATTAGAGATCTAATTAATTTATTAATTAATTACTTTATTTATTTATTTTTGAGATCTAATTAGTTTATTAATCACCAATAGGATTGAAACTTGATTGAGTATATGATTGATTGCATGTTGATTGAAAGTTGGAGGTGGTTGAGGTGCTTGTAAACCGAAAATGATTGAAATGTTGATTTGAAGTGTATGTTTACTTGAAGTGCAGGTTGATTGGTTGAAGTGTAGACTTGAAGATAGACTTTGGTTGATTGGCTGGAAATTTGATTGAAGTGATTGAGAGTTGGGTGATTGTCAACTATCAGGTTGGCAATCAAAGGTGGTCATAGGTGTTCGGTAACGGTCGGTGGTGGCCGACAACGACCAGTTGTCATGGCAGTGGCGATGACGGTGAGTTTGCCATGTATTTGATAATTACCCAAATCGAAAAAAAAAACTTCAAATGCATCAAAAATAAATTCGTTGCTGTATTCCAAATGCACTGAAATTTTACTCAACATTCCTTTTACTTCAAACCAAAGACAAATATTTTCAAAACCCCTAAATTTGAAATACTTTACACCTTTTTTTTGCAACAAATCAAACATTTACTTAAATATTATATCAAAATTCTTGATTATGTGAATTTTCTATGACATGTCATTTTTCATTGTAACGTCTAACAAAGATTTTAAGAATAACGTATACAAGTGAGAATTGTTTATTTTTTGTTTAGTTTTATTTTAAAATATAATTTAAATATTGCAGAAGTTCTCCTAATTTGTTGAAAATTCATTTGGTTTAATTTTTTAATTATCTGAATTATTCCTTACTGATTTATTATCATTTCATACTAAAACAACAACAACAACAACATCAAGTATTTGTACATTTGTGCTACTACGTGAGGTCGGCTACTCATAAATAATAAACATGAACTAAAAATATATTTTAACTTAACATTTACTAATATTATTAAAAAGTTTGTGAGCTTAAATTTTATAATTATAGCATTATTTTTTTGTCCATACAATTAAACCCTAAAGGGCCTAAACTATGTTAATTAAAATGATTATTTGTTATAGGTTGAATTTCTTTCACTTCAAATTTTTTTGTATACTTGTTTAACACCTATAAATTTTCAATAAAAAATCGCATGATTTTATTGAGTTCATTTGATATATTTAGCTGATCTTATGCCAATTCAGTTTAATGAGACTGCTTATTCATATTAGACCACCACCGGAGAGATACTATGTCTTCACAAACTGATGGCAGGAAAGGAATAGAGAAATCAATCACAAATCTTACAGAAGAATAAAACATAACTTCCATTTAACTTTGAAAACACGCCTAACAAATCAGCAACCACAATTTTCATATATTTCTTTACACAATAACGCCTAATAGATTCGGTGTGAAGACCACTTATTGGAGACATCTTTGTGCAAAATTATAAAAAACAACTTATGAATATTTTGCACTTGCCCAAGGCAAGCAGGTAACATTTTCAATTTAGCAGAACCGTAGTCATTTGTGAGGAAAGTAACTTGAGGTATCAATCAAATCAACTCTTAAATCTCCCAGCTCTGTCTCGCCAAGAGCCTTGTTGTAGCGCTAGCACCTGCAATCCATATCAGAGAACATTTCTAAAACTGAAAATATTTATTTTCTGTAATTAAAAACTGCAAATGTTATTCAGTCGTTTGCCTTATCACTTATCAGAAGATTGCTGTCTTGATTTTCATGGTCAGTATTTTCTGCTGCGCCTTTACTGGTTTCAGATTCTGGGAGAGTTGGCTCCATTGCTGAAGCTCCGAACATTGCTTCATCATGTGCTGCTTTGATCTGTTCCTCGCGTTTAGCCTGTAGCATAGAAAGATCTCAGTTATATTTATAAAAATAATTTATTTGATGGTGAAATGTTAAAGATAACAGACCTGCACTGCAGAAAACCGAAAACTATTACCAATCTCTTTGACTAGAGAAGCATCATCTTCGGCCACTGATGATAAAGAATTATTTGATTAACAAAGTGATCACTAAATAATATAACAAAAGTACGTTCATACAGTCCTAGAATGGTGCCCGAGTACGTTCATTTACAAACAAGGATGATTTGAGAAAGATATAGTAGTCATAATTAGTAGCTATGCAAACAAGAGACTTCTACCTTCCTCATTTATCTCAAGAAGAAAATTAATCCATTCAACTAAGCTTAGCCCGTCACATCTTCAGGGACTGTATAAACATCATAGTTGTAGACTTGCAAATGAAGAAAATAATGCGGTGGTATGATCAGAAAATATATAATAGACCAACGGGTCGCTGAGTACCTCTCTTGTTTTTTTTTCCCCTTAATCTACAGTATAACCTTGAGGCTTTCCTTGAAGCAAATAGCTGATAGAAGCTAGAGTTTCATTCAAGCAGCAGGCACAAGACCTAGGCCGGCAGTAGAGGCTGCGTGGTTGCCCTGGAGACAAACCCAAGGTTCCTGGATGGTGGAAGAGAAACATAATAAACGAGGGACTGAAACCTTTGTATTGACCCGTCATTAGAGAAAATAGAGAAGAGAAGATGAATGAGTTAGAGATGAATTATCCTCTGCTTCAGGAACCGTCTGTCCCAATGCTACTGTAAGGAAGAAGAGCTCCGTATAGAGTGCTAAAGCAGCGCACCAGTTGTGCTATAAGATGGCCATGGTGGCTGTACTTGTTGTGGGTGGGCTGAGTAGGCAGATGATTGTTGGAGGCCATAACGGCCTGGTCACACTCGAGTAGGGCAATGTAGCAATGCTGCATGGAAGCAAAGGTGAGCACCTGGAAAGACAGATTGGAGATCATGGGAGCTTGTCAAATTGGCGGGACCGGATATAGGAGAGGTGATGAACAGTAGGGGACGTTAATTCTTCCAAAAAGCATTTTGTAATCAACCACCCAGACATCATCCTTTGACTTTTAACTATGTTTTTAATTAAAGTTGGATTAATTCTTGGCTTGGATTTGATTCTGATTTAAGTTTTAAATGAACATGTTAACCTAAGGACAACAACCAAAGCCCAGCTCAAGTCTTGACCCAAATTCCAGAAAATCAGCAAGAAATCACGCGTACCTGACATTGTTCGGCGCTAACATCATTCAGTTCACACGATTTCTGCTTAAATCCCGCGACAGCTCCTCGATTGTTACCTCATCCACGTCGTTAAATACCCAACCGAGCGAGGCTTTCGGTTGCTCTTCCCCCACACTCGCCTCCTCCCAGATCCGCTGAACTCCATCCCGATACCGACCTCCAAGCCCCCATCTGATCCCTTTGGCCGGAGAGAAATATATATATATATATATATATACCTCACTTCAATGTTTTGATGCTAAGTGCATTTAACATTAATATTAATATTAAGGCTAATATTAATATTATTATTATTATCATAATAATAATAATATAGTTTCTATTATTTTAATATTATTATTATAAATAATAATAATACTATCATTAGTAATATTATTATGAATAATAATATTATTATTATTAAAAAAAAAGATCATTCTCTCGTGGCTTGCGACGGGCTAACAAACCACCTACGTGCTCACGTAGCGTAGTAGAGGGAAATCGGCGCAGCGCTTGCGACGACCTAAAATAATCTTCTTCAATGCTAGCAACGAGCCGACAAACCCCCTACGCGCTCACGTAGCGTAGTAGGGAGGGAAACTGGCGCCGCGCTTGCCGCAAGGGGAATATATATATAATAAGTACCTTCAAACGCTCATGTAGTGCAGCGGGGGAAAAAATTATGCTCTTTTTAAAATGTGTTTGAAACCTTTAAACGCTCATGTAGAGGGCAAGGATAAAATAAAAAAATGCAACCGCGGTGTCATTTGACACGTATCTGAAGCGCTCATGTAGCGTCGAGGGGAAGGCTGCCTCTTGGTTTTTTCCCCTAAACAGGGGAGACGCCGGGAGGCTGCCAAAATTTTGTCTAAAATTAGACAAGGACTTGAACAAAAAGTGGACTTGGACTTGAGCTTAAATATTGACATTAAATGAACTAAAACTAAGCTTGAACTTGAATGTGGACCGAAGCTGACAAGAATAAGGGATGCACTAGTACTCAAACTTGAACTCTAATTTGAGCAAACATAAAGAACCTTCACTCAAATTGAACATCAATCAAACTTGCAAACATCGAAGTTAAGCTTGAATGAACATTCACAGGGGACTTGGGCAATTTGGACCAAAATTCAAGTGAATCATAACTTTGAACTTGGACCTCTGTTTAAAATTGCGCAATAAGAGGCGCGCCTTGAGGCACGCCTCTGCGCAATTTGACCCAAAACCACCTCGAGGCTTACGCAATTCCTCTCCTGGCTGAGGCGTATGCCTCACTTGGACTGAGGAGCGCCTCAAAGGTGCAATTGCGCAATTCTGGCAAAGGCGTATGCCTCATAGAAACGGCCCCACCCACTTAAAATGAAGACTTTTCTTCCTTAATCCCGCACGACTCCCAGTTATCCCGAAACTTTCCTTCCCGCAGGGTGTGTTCGCGAAACAGAGAGCTTCCCGCACCCGTCGGCTTTCCTTCCCGCCGCCTCTCCCGCTGGCGCCGCCTCTCTCCAGCGAAGTTGAAGGTCCGGCCGCCCTCTAGGAGTACTCCACAATCGATTTTAGTTTTTTTTTTTTGTAGTTTAGGGTTAGATTTTTCAAGTGAAAGAAATTATAGGGTTTTTGATTTTTTGAGATTTTTTGTGTATTTTTGGATTTTTGCTTTAGGAAACATGGTTAGAGGAAAAGAAAAGTCGAATAAGTCATTGGGACATGATTTTATTGCATCTATTTTCTTACTTTCCACTATTTTCATATATCATTTAGATGTTTTTATTATAAGATAGAATATTGCTATTATTTACCTGCTAAAACCCTTAATTTCTCATTTACGCAATTCTGTGTTCGTGAGGCTTACGTCTCAGACCGCCTCGAGGCTTACGCCTCGCCTCACGGACGAAAACCGCCTCGAGGCTTAATTACACAATTTTAAACATTGACTTGGACAAAATATAAAGATGAGCAATCAATAGAGAGTTTGGCTTGAATCATTGTACCAAATTCCTAATGAAGGCTATAAAATGACTATTTCAATTGAAATACAAATGAATAATGATATCAAACTAATCATAAACTATCTTTGAGGACAAAGAAGTTGCAAATGAAGTCTATTTGCAAGCAAGTAAAAACTCATGGTGAAATCAATTCTCAAAGCATTCAAATGAACAACGATGAATGGACACAATGCTTGTAATAAGCAAAGCTTCAAGAGGAACTTGCAAGCAATCATCAACAAGGAAGAAATGGACATACAACAACATGTTCATGATTTATAATATGAAATTTCTTTAGTGGACATTAAGGATTTGTCACTTTGATTGGGGAGGTAATTGTCATCAAGCAAATTGACCATACAAGACTCCAAATCATTTTCAAGTAACAAGCAAGTGACTCATGATAAATGGATATTCAAATGCCACTTGTTTGCAAACAAACAAGAATAAGCAATAATCAATTGAATGGGAGAGACAAGTAGTTGACTGATTTGAGGAAATTGCATCGACTGCACGGATGTATGATGAGTACAAGGATAGTCGACATCTTTGTGCAAATGAGCAAGCGAAGTTTATAAATGATGAACATTGGAGGATATGTGCAATCAGTTGCATGTGAATATCAATTAAGAAGGTATCAGGAGACTATCACCAATGAGCAAGGTGCAATGTAGTGTTATGAAGCAAGATGATTGATGCCATCCATATATTACTAATGTCTCCTAATCATGAATCAACTAGTAATTTAATGATAAATATGCAAATGAACATGCAAGAATCCGTAGTGGATAAAGGATCTCAGGGACAATATGTTTGTAAGTAAAGTTCAGAATGAGAGGTATGATGGCAAGCTCACAAGCAATAACATAAGGTCTACATCCTTTTTTATTTTCTTACCAAAGTGACGACAGAAAGCCTACGATACGCACAACACATCGTCTACAATCTACTTACGGGTGGCAGTTGCTACAAGAACTAGAGGCACAAGAAAATACATTAAATCTATGAAATCTCTCCCATAAGCAAAATACCTACGAACTGTCTTAGCAAGGATACCGTAGCATCTCTACAGCTAACAACCATCCAATGGAAAACAAATATATTAACTTTCTTCTAACCAAAGACGAAGGGTATATATCAAATGCAACAAAGAGATATAAGTATAGGAGCTCCTACGAGCTACTATAGGAGACCCCTATGCATCCAATATGATTGTCGACAAGAAAAGTGAAAGAGGATTGTAGTAAATGCAAGCACCTATGAAAGAGAGCAGGAAATTAGTTTAGTGCACAACAATCCACCTGCAAAAAGCAACCAGTAGTGCACGACAGTCTACCTGTACAAAGCAGCAAATAACTCAATCCATAAGCTACTACAACACGCCACAGAATCTGCAACCCGTATACAAGCAGACAGAAGGCGTGTACGAGCTTCCGAATAGAACGTTGTATTGAAATGGCGGTCATCTATACAATTGATCAAAATTAAATATCTGAAGAAGCACTCGCACATGCACCGTAGTTTGTATATACATAGGTACACTAAAGGGGTAAGTGCAATCATAAACCCGCATGGGCCCTGGCTAGTGTGTTATAAGTTTACACGTGACATCTAGGGATGCTACGCAGGTTAATAAATTTGAACCTGATCCTCCTAAGCAGATAAGTAGGAGTCGACAATGTTCAACAAATAATTACAAAATAGCTCCAAACACCTGCATGGGCCCCGACGAGCGTGTCTTAAATACACACGTAACATCTAGGGATGCTGCGCGGGTCAATAAGTGAATTCAAGTTTGAACCTGATCCTTCTGTGCGGATCAATAGGAGTCGACAGGGTTCGAACCATCAAACAAATATACGGTTGTGGGGCCCGGTATATTTGTTCTAATATATTCATATTAGGCCTTCAATGCCTATAACAAAAAAAATTCACTAATAAAGGCATAAAGCTTGCAAAACTCGATCCTCTGTCGACAGCACAATAGAGTCGACAAGGTTCAATCCATAAACATTTTCAAATGGAAGTGACCCAAACATCCCGATGATGGCCGTGTTGAACTAATATCTCAACCGGATGGGCTAACTTCAAATACTTTCAAGTGTCACCCAAATACCCACAAAGTCCAAAATCAAAGATTTCAAAGATCATCAAACTCTAAGATATTTAAATTTGAAATCAACCATCAAATCATTTAAAGCAAAATCCATCCACCCTTCACAACAGTTTGCAAAGATAGACAAATTAAAATTTACTTCAGCTCACAAAGAGCTAATGCCTAGTCGAAAATATCACTATGATCTATTCTCAAACAATCTCCTGCCAGTAAGGACACGGTACATGTCCTCTAACCGGCGGGTTTTGCCACCAAATGACACCGTAGGATAAACGGTTATGACCCGAGGTCCTCTGAACCGAGTGATTTTGCAGCCAAATGGCACCACAAAATACCAGTTATGGCCAGAGCCAATACGTTCCTTATTGTTATCAAATCCTTGAGATATGAATCAATAGGATATGATCGATAGGGCATAAAACCCTCTGTTAGCTAAGGTGGATTCAAATTTGTCCCCTTATGCAAATATCCACCCTAAATCTACAAGGTCCCCTTGGATGAAGCAACCCATGGTTGCCAACAAGGATCCTTCTGTCAGGTTGGGTCGACTACCTCCTCTGACTAAGTAGACCAGGGATCATGATGGCTCGGGACGACGGAACCATGGGATCTTGATCGGGTCTATCATCCATTCCCCCACCATCCGCTTTAAGTGCAATATGGTGAAATTTCTATTTTAAACATCAAATCTTCTTACTTTCCTAATTTCCATACCCAAACTCAATGCTGCTACTATATACCAGATAACACGTATTTATACGTATCTGATTGACGACTAGCCTTAATAGAAAGTTCTCTCCCGTTATCGGGAGGGGTAATTAACTATAGGGGCTTGTGCCTATAGGAAACCAAAACTCAGATCATAAAATCCTTGCAAAATGAGGGCGAAATCTCTGGGTAGTGTCTTATCTACAAACCAACCTGCCTTCCAAAATTTACCCCGAAACTTAATCCGTTAAAACTCTCCCAGAAAAAGAAAAAGCAACTGCCAGGCGGAGGCTGGGGCCGAATTTTCGGAGCCCACAGAACATACATGATTTCTCATTTTGTAAGTAATAAAAAATATAGCCCAGACGCACATAGCTAGCAGATGAGTCTAGATGACTTTTCCTTTTGTGAGTAATCCAAAATCTAGCCCAGATGCATATAGCTTCAGCTGCAAGCAGGTATGGGTTTTCTTAAAATGAGTTGCGATTAAGGCTGAGTGAATTAAATTGATCTAAACAGCTCAAATTAGTAATTTAAATCCAAGAGGATCAAATCAGCTTGGGCGTTTTGAATTTAATTCAAAGGTATCAAGATCCAATTTATATGAGTGCAAATAATTTTAATCTAAATGGATTCTGGCGAACTTGAGTAGGTTGAGATTAAACTCGAATTAGTTTGGCCGGTCTCAGGCAGTCCTGGTAATCAGATATTAATTTAAGTTCACTTTAAAATAACCAAATTACGTTATATCAGTGATAAAGTATCCAAATTGTCATAAATGATCTCTAATTGGACCTATTTTTAAACCACTTGAGTGCTTTTAAATTCAATTAAGCTTGTCTTAGTTAACACATTACTCAATATAACCGAGTAAAAGATTTAATAATCTCAAATGATTTAGCGAAGCCGGGATTTCCTGACTGGAATAATCTCTAACCATATGATTAAACCAATTTTGCTTATGCAAGTCCTTGTAAAGAGGGACCTTCCTGGATGCCATATTGGGTGTACCAAGCTACTCCTGAGCTAATAGACACGCAATTGACTTGAATCGCCACCCTAGCCAAGTCTTAGATTTCTCAATTTAATAGTTTGAGTTAATTGAGCTTAAGAGATTTAGTGTTGGTTTTGTGGATGGACTTGCAGGAGGAAACAAGAGCGTGTTGACTAGGTAATTTAGAGTAGGATATATTATTATTTTGTTATTCTCCTTGTTTTTTTAAATGGTTGGCAGAGGTTATGTATATAAAAGTTGGTAGAGGGTTTGGCAAGTTATAAGGTAAAGATGATAAACTTTGTTTATATATATATAATAAATTTAGTTATAAATTAATTTAAAAAATATTAATAAGAGATGAGTTGGCTCCTCGTATAATTAATCATTTTTGTGCATCTTGGTATGTGTGTCGTCACCTCGTGCTCGCGCTAATTTTCACACTTTCACTCATGTGAAAGTCCTAGCAATATTACAATTATTTATGAATATTCTCAACGTTCTGTACACAACGACGAAGTCCGTTTTATGAACGAACGTCGTTTGGGCAAAGTCGCATAATGTTCTGTTTGTAGACTGCTACTTTTGACCATCTTCACCTGACACGCATGTGAGAGGTCCTCCCTGAAGTAAATTCAACATTTTGAAAGCATCGGGGTAGCCTATTTCATGATCAGACGTAATTTGGGCAAGCAATTTTATGCCACGTCACACCAGCTAATAGTCATTTTTTATCGTCATTTAATCAAGTCGTTAGCAAGCGGCTCCTCTTTAGTAAATTCGATGTTTTGAATGCATCAATGTATGTGATCTATTTTGCAATCAGATAAAGTTAAGGTAATTTCAACCATAGTCGAGCCATCTCAATGTTCGTTCAACGTGATGATATGCCCTTTAATTGTTGCTCTCTTCGCATTGGCTCGGACTCGACTTTGGAATGTATATGGAGGTCAATAGTCATCTCCTTATGCTAGCATGAAGCCTAAGTTTTGTTTTTTTTTAGTAAACTCTTTCATTTACCTTATTTCTTCTAAATATCTTATTATTGACTAGTTGATATTCTTGATTTTGTTAAATTTGATATAACTGTGATTCTAAATATGGTGAATAAATTGCAATTGCTATTTCTGATTGATTTCTTACTATGTATTTCATCATTGCATTATTCTTTGGATAATAATTCATGTATTTTCTGAGTTGCACCCAAAGAAAAGAAATGGCTTATTTAATGATTTTTGAATTGTGAATCCTAAGTTCTCTTATAAGATCTACATTTATTCCATTATTCTAGTTACTTTAGAAACCCTAGATCATAGGGCATCACATGTCAAGTTATATCTTCTATAAAAAATAATAATAATAAATAAATAAATAATTTCTATGTCAAGAAGAACATGATGAGATAACTTCAATAATGTTTTTGAACATCCGTCTAGGTTTGGATGCTACACGCTCTTGTTCTTTGGGGTATGGTTTTTAGCATCTCTCAAATTGGTATGAAACAAGAACGTTGTTCCAATACAAGCTTGATCCAAATCAAGGGAGAATGAGTAAGAAGTTATCCAAATCAATTTTTCCAATGTGGAAGAGGGGTATAATGATAAGAAACTATTTTTTTTTTAGTGGAATAAGTCTAAGAGATGGGAGGATCGAACTAGGTTGGTGAAAATAAAGAAAAACTAGGCTTAAAGAGAGACCTGATAGAGTGATTACACTTGGTTTTCTATATTACCGACTCATAGGCTTGGTGAGGCATGTTTTCTATTCCCCGCATCATCACATATTTCCAAGGCTGAAAAAAAGCTAATGTAACGAGCAGGAGATAAGTTTCACCTCAGGAGGACTTGCAAAGAGCTTATCGAGAGAGGTAGAGAGAGGGAGAGAAGAAGATTTTAGAATTGACGGTACTTCTGATAAATTTCTAAAATTTGTACGTAAGGGCTGCTAATTATAGGTAACATAGCAGTAATAATGTGTTATCAGAGAATTCATTTAAAGTCATGATACAAACAAAACTTATATACTACCGTGGAAGGAGTTGTTATATTGGGGAATGTTGAATATCTTCTTTTTTGCTCGAGGGGGTAGGGAGAAAGAAATTAGAAAAGGAGCCCTTGATAAGTAATGAATGAAGTGTTGTTTCAATTTGTTTCTATAGTTTAGGATAAATATTCTTATTTGTAGATTATTATGTAATAGCATTAAGTATAAGTTGGAATGTACATTGCACTGGATGAAATTTTGGGCAGTAATTTTAGCAATTATTGGCAAACATTGAAGTTATTATTCGGATGCATTCTATTTAGCAAGCATGCACAAAAAAAAGTATTCAAGAGTTAATGATTTGAACAACATTAAAATGAATTTGTGCAGAATTTCAAATTTTACCGCTCCTGTAATCAACCCTCAAATGCAACAAGAAAGGGAAACAGCATAAAGAAAAAGAATGAAATACAGCAACACATCATGATTTTGGTTCCATTTGTTAGATGCGTGAAAGATCTTGAAAACAGAATAACCATCAAAGTCCTACATGGGGTCCTGATTGGATACCCATGCTTTACTCAGACAGGCTTCGCGCACCCACACCCACCCATGGTGACTTTCGGGATGCTATACCGACATATACCCACCCACTTTCAATGCTTTTTGAACACAGTATGTCACGGACTAATGGCCTTGAGGCTTGTTGCCCTTTGCTTTGATTGCAACTTTCTAGTCGCATATCAGAATTTATCGTAGTCGCAGCGTGGTTAAGTGTTGCACACTACGTAGTGAAGATTACAGTAATATAATATATATAATGATTAGCAATGTAAATCAATTTATCCCCCAATGTTGAGTACCCACCCATACTCACCCACACCCATCAACAAGGCCATGGGCGTACCCATACCCACTGGATATGGGTGGGTACATGGGTGAGTGTGAGTATGGATACCCAATGCAGGGCTTTGATAAACATGCCCGAGGTTTCACAATGTAGAACAAGTAACTGTAAGGTACTCTCATAAATCTTTTAGGAAGGAAACATGATAAAAAATAGTTTACCCTCAATTTCATCATTGTCATCAAGAGGTGCATCCTTGTTGAAATCAAATCTCTCCCATCCGCTGCTCAATCCCATGGTTGAATCCTTTGCAGCTGCAAGAAATCTCGCATCATTGTGGTACAATTCTCACGATTTAAAATACAATATACCAAATAATACACATCACAAGTCTTTCAGCCATAAAAAAATCATTCCAGAATTATATTTGGAATATTGAAATAAGCTACACAGAAATGTCATTATTGCCAACATAGAAAATGCTTTTCAAGTCATCATGAACAACAACTATCAACCACAAGAATAATTCATTGCATTTTTTATAGCATTTTTCTCACTTACTGCACCACAACACATCATAAAAACTTAAGAAAATAATAAGTGCCACATAAGCTGGGAGTAACTGGAATCAGGAAGGTGACTGGTGAAGTATTGGTCTACCTAAAAATAAAAATAAAATTGAACCATGGCCAAGGAAAATGAAGTAAGTCAGACCTTTCAGAAGCCTTAAAGATGACAGCAAATGCAGAACATCTTCACACAAACAAAAATATAACAAAAGGGGTTCGCTTACAAACAAAATAAGAATACATTGCATTAGTGCGGAAGCCTTTCAAGGAGCAATCATGCAATTGCAAAACGGACAAGTTCATTATTACAGAAACAACTATACCATAGATAAGAAGTGAATAAAGAAATAAGGAAAAAAGTGCCATTATAAAAAATGTTCAGTGTAAGTAGCAACTGATAAATTATACATCTAAATATGGGGAAAAACTATGGCAGCCTCAACATTCAATATATAAATCTCGAAGGAACCAAAGTTACAGATAAAAATCAATCCTTAATAATAATGCTCCTCTCTCATAGATTTTTCGACATTCTCATTTTTTTCTCAGGTAGAGCAAACTGGGAAATTACTGACAGAAGTTCAAATTAAGGACAAAAAACAAAAATGAAGCCAACTCCAGGTTTTGAAGATTACAACAACAACAACAACTACAGGTTTTGAAGGTTTTGAAGGTTTTGAAGATTAAATAGAGAAAAATTCATAGAACATTAAAACCAACGCGTTAACTTAAATGGAAAAATGCTTGCACTATATGCCTAATAAGATCATCAAAAACCAGAAGAAGCTTAGTACAAAATCAATAGTTCAACATAGTACCAGTTTGTGAAAGCTGAAGCTTCATCTTTGCCCTAACTCTTTCTGCAGGGGTCTGGGAGCACATACCAAATAAGCACCAGTTATGCCAAACAAATTGCAATGTGATGAGACTTCACATTTATCATTCATATAAAAGTATTGACTCAAAAATTGGATAAGGAAAGCATGTTGTAAAAGAACAGTGTTTGTTCACTAAAATAAATACTTTTACACTATTCTTTAACAATCATGTGCTTAAAATTTGAGCAAATTAAGAAACTAGATTCATTTTTCTAACAAGATATCTATACCATCAATAAATAAGTTCTAGGTGTGTTAGAGATGCCAGTGCAAATGACCATGCATAATTATCTGCAATAAATATTTAAATTCACTTTTTCTTTTCTTTTTTTCATTTTATTCTTTTAAATCTGGTAGATGTATATGAACTTCGGGGCTATGAAAATTTGAGTTTTTTTAGCACCAGCCCTTGTAGTGAGGGCTTTAAGACATACGTTCTGATTTAAGATAGGTGCAAGCCCCTACAATTAATTACTCCTCTCAACAACAAGAGAGGACTTTCAATTAAGGCTAGTCGTTAAACAGATACTTAGTAGCAGCATATTTAGATGCTAAATTTAAAATTTAAAGTTAAAAATTCACCACTTGCACTTAAAGCGGATAGTGAGAGAATGATGATGGTCAAAATCAAAATCCCATGATTTTGTCGTTCTGGGTTATCATAGTTTCTAATCTACTAAGACAAGGTAGTCGACCCAACCTGACTGAATGATCCTTTTCGGCAGCCATAGGTTACTTCATACAAAGGGAACTTGTAGACTTGAGGTGAGTGTTTGCCTAAGGAATTAATTCAAGTCAACCTTAGCTAACAAAGGTTTTTATGCTCTAGCAATCATACCCTATAATTCATTACCCAATGGTAACTAGCCATTGGGAAATATATGTGCTTTTAGCCATCACCATAAGATAGTGGAGTCATTTGACCAAGCCACTAAGTCAGATAATTGCAATCATAATCGTTTACCATGTGGAACCATTATGGCAAAACCACTAGTTCTTTGCAGAGCTGTCTGGCCAAGCAACCGATTAGAGGACCAGTCATATCGTTTACTGCATAGATCCGTCTGGCCAAACTATGGGGTTTTGTAGAGTCGTATGGTTAAGCCACTAGTTAGAGGACAAATGTCACATTCTTAAGGGTAAATATATATTTAAGAATAAATCTTAGTGATATTCTCGATTTGAACATTCGCTCTTTATGAGCTAGAGATATTCTTGAGTTCATCACCCTCAACAAACGGTTGTGAAGGTTAGATGAGTTTTGCTTAAAGTTTAAATTATTAATTTCAATTTTAAATATTAAAACATTTGAAAGTTCGTTAGGGATGTTAGGCCCCTTATGAACTGGCCCAAGGCTAATTAAGAGAGGGGTGAATTGGTATTTTAAAAAATCTTTCGCAATAAAAAAAAGTCAAACCAAAATCCACCATAGAGAAAACACAATGCGGAAAAATAAATGCGAAAATAATAAATGAAATAACACACCCAAACCTGTTAACAATGGCGCACCATGGCGCAAAGGTCCATTTGGAGCCATGAAAATAGCGCACGGCGCGGCGCGTGCTATTTTGAATATGGCGCAAGCTATATAAAAAATATAAAATAATAAGCATGAATATGAAATATTATTAAAAATGAAAGACAAGCTATCATAATAATAAAAGATAACCATAACATATATAAGTTCGACTAAGTAACATCCAAATATCTCATAATTCAAATATTACAATCTTTTTTTAAAAGATCAAATATGAATTTAATCTACTCTTCTTGGGAATCATCATCATCAGCAAATGTTAAAAAAGCTTCATTATTTTCTTCAACATTGTCTCCTACTTCATAATTCTCTTCATCACCCTCCTCATCATCATTCTCAATAGCAATATCATGCCTAATTGAAGATTCTTTCTCTTTCCCATTAGATCTTTCCCGAATATTATAGCTTTTATCATAAACACCAGTAGCTTTAGCAACACTTGTCCAAGTTAAATCTTCCTCTCCAGCAATAAAGTCATTTTCTTCATCAGACTCATCATCTAATTTTCCTTCACGATGATTGAATCTCCGAATCAGTGCTCTATTATATTTCACATAAACTAAATCCTTTAAGCGACCATGATCCAATTTGCTTCTTCGTTTGCTATGAAGCTGCAATTAAAATATTATTACATTACTATATTATGAACATATATAAAAAATCAACACTTACATTATAAAATACTTACATGTT